TTTTTTTTTTTTTTTTTTTTTTTTTTTTTTTTTTTTTTTTTTTTTTTTCTTTCTTTCTTTCTTTGTTTTGTTTCTCCTTTTTTCTCTTTGTTTTCTCTTTTTTTTTCTTTTTTTTCTTTTTTCCTTTTTTTTTCTTTTTTTTTCTTTTTTTCTCTTTTTTTCTCTTTTTTCTGTTTTTTTCTGTTTTTTTCTCTTTTTTCTTTTTCCTTTCTGTCTCCTTTTTCTCTCTCTCTTTCTCTCCCTCTGTCTCCTTCTATCTCCTCCCTATCTATCTCCTTTTTCTGTTTCTTTCTGTTTCTGTTTATCTCTGCCGCAACTTAATTTCTTCTATTTGTATATGTTCTCTTTCTGTCTCTTTTTTCTCTTTCTTTCTCTTTTTCTCTCTTTCTGTCTCTTTTTTCTCTCTCCTTTTTCTCTCTCTTTCTCTCTCCTTTTTCTCTCTCTTTCTCTCTCCTTCTATCTCCTCTCTATCTATCTCCTTTTTTATCTTTTTCTGTTTTTTCTGTCTCTGTTTCTGTTTGTTTTTATCTTATGTACCCGTCGCAACTTAATTCCTTCTGTATCTATATGTTCTCTTTCTGTCTCCTTTTTCTCTCTCTTTCTCTCTCTTTTTTCTCTTTCTTTCTCTCTCTTTCTGTCTCCTTCTGTCTCCTTCTGTCTCCTTATCTTTTTCTGTCTCTGTTTCTGTTTCTTTCTGTCTCTGTTTGTCTCTATCTCAGGTACCCGCCGCAACTTAATTCCTTCTGTATCTATATGTTCTCTTTCTCTTTCTGTCTCCTTTTTCTCTTTCTCTCTCTTTCTCTCTCTTTCTGTCTCTTTTTTCTCTCTCTTTCTCTCCCTGTCTCCTTTTCTCTCCCTCTGTCTCCTTCTATCTCCTTTTTTATCTTTTTCTGTTTCTTTCTGTCTCTGTTTGTCTCTTAGGTACCCGCCGCAACTTAATTCCTTCTGTTTGTATATGTTCTCTTTCTCTTTCTGTCTCCTTTTTCTCTTTATTTCTCTCTCTTTTTTCTCTCTCTTTCTCTCTCTTTCTGTCTCCTTCTGTCTCCTTCTGTCTCCTTCTGTCTCCTTATCTTTTTCTGTTTCTGTTTCTGTTTCTTTCTGTCTCTGTTTGTCTCTATCTCAGGTACCCGCCGCAACTTAATTCCTTCTGTTTGTATGGGTACCCTAACAAGCGACCCCATAAGCAGTATTCAGGTGTACAGGG